AGCCGGCCCCCCAGGCCCCCCAGCCCAGCCTCTGGCCCCCGCCCCCCTCCGCTGTGGACCCCAGGGCTGTTGGGCTGCGGCCTGCGGCGCGGGCTGGGCAGGGAGGGCCCTGGCCTCCTGGAAGGCTGTGGGCAGCGCCCGCCAGCCTCCCCCTGCCTTAGATAGACGGGCCCTGGGTCAGAAGCTCCCGGGCACCAGGTGCCCTGGCTCCCTCAACGTGTGGCCCCTGAGTCACCCGGGCTGGCCGGTGGGTCCGAGACTTGGGTCATTCGCGCCCTCACTGAATCTGTGGGGTGGAGCTGGGGCGGTTCCCGCGGTCGCTGCTGGTCACCTCCGCGGTCACTGGGTCTCTGCCCCTTTCCGGCGGCTCACGGGCCTGCGGTCGCCCTCAGTGGTCCACTGCAGGTGTGCCAGGTGTTTCTGCTACCCCGCCAGGCGCCGCGTGCGCAGGCGGCCCCGGAACCCCAGCATCCTGAGTCTCCCGGAGGACGTGCTCTTCCACGTCCTCAAGTGGCTCCCGGTCGGCGACCTCCTGGCTGTGCGGGCTGTAAGTGGCCGCGAGGCTGTGGGCCCGCAGGCTTCCGCGCCCCTATCTCGGGACAGAGCCTCGCGACGGCGGGCAGGGCGGGCAGGGCGCAGCCCTGGGGACCCCAACGGGGCCTCCCTCCCCGAGGGCCTCGCGCCCTTAGGAAGCGAGGTGCTGTCCCGGGACTGTTCTCGGGGGCGGGTCCACGTGGAGCCCAGAGCTGCAGCCTCCCAGGCCGCCGGCGCACCCCAGCCCGTGGGTCCCGTCCCCTCCACTCCAGCCAGGCCCGCCGGGCCCCGGGAGCGGCCCTCTGCCGCCCGGAGACAGCCTGCTCTGCTCTGCAGGTGCATTCCCACCTGAAGTACCTGGTGGACAACCACGCCAGCGTGTGGGCGAGCGCCAGCTTCCAGGAGCTGTGGCCGTCCCCAAGGAACCTGGAGCTCTTTGAGAGGTAGGCGAGCTCCGGCGGCGCTCGGCGCGCCCTCCTGACCCAGGTTGTCAGGGTCGCCCTGCCTCGCCCCCGTGTTGCTGGGACTGTCCACCTCGCTCACGAGCCACACAGGGTGCCCAGGGCCGGCTGGTCACCCCCAGCCCAGCTGCGCGCTCCGCTGTGTCTGTGGTGGCCCTGGAGGCGCCCTGGGCTCTGGCGCCATCTGACGGGCCCCGGTCGCTGTGTAAAGGCAGGTCAGGCCTCGCCTTTGGCTCTACTTGGGCGACGCCCAAAGTCCTGTCCACTTGATGCGTGGGTGCCCTCCCACCCCCACACTGGGCCACCTCGAGAAAGGCTCTGGACGGCTCCCTGCTGGCCCTCATCTGCCTAGGGATAGCCAGAGGCCAGCGGCCAGACGCCTGTGCCCCGAGCTGCTCCGGGCAGCGAGCCGGTCTCTGCGCTCGGCCTGGGGCTGCAGCGCTGCAGACGCGTGGCCCGGTGTGGGCCCCCTGGCCGCGCGTGGCCCTGCAGCCCACTCTGGGTGCCGCTGGCTGGCACGTGGGCGCCTCCGCGGCGAGCCTCCCCGCGTGGCGTGCTGCGACCCACGCCGCCCGACGTGTTCACCGCAGGGCCGCCGCCAAGGGCAACTTCGAAGCTGCTGTGAAGCTGGGCATCGCCTACCTCTACAACGAGGGCCGTAAGTCCGCGTGGCGGTGCCCGGTCTTGGTGGCCTGGCCGCTGCCGCTGTGTCCGGCCCTCGCCTGACTGCCCCCTGGAGCCTGGGACTCAGCCCCTCCGCTGTCGGTCACCGCCGCATGTGGCCGCAGAGAGGCTGGGGGCGACCCGGGCCGTCGGCTGCTCTGGGTGACGCTGCGGCCAGCCCCTCTGCTTGGCCGCAGCCGCCGGGAGCAGGACCAGCCTGGGGCCTCGCTCCCTTCCCCCAGAGAGCCTGGCGCAGCCCTCTCCCAGCCCACTCTCGGCTCCCAACCCCTGACCACCGGCCCGGTCGCCGCGTCTGCTGCTGAGAGACTGGCCGAGCACGTGGCCGAGACCACGCGGGTCCCCTCCAGGCTCTGCAGGGCAGTGGCTCGTCCCCACCCCCTCAGTGCTTCCCACGTGGAAGCCACAGCCCCCAGCTCCCCCGGTGTGTTCGCAAAAGCGTGAAGCCTGCATCAGTGATTCTAGAACATTCTTGTCACCCAGGAAGAAACACCACGTCCACTAGCAGGGGGTGGTCGCAGCTCCTGGCAGGGGTCGGGCTCCTCCCTGCGGGCGTGGTTGGCAGCCGCCGGGCTCGTCCCTGGCCCCCGACACGCGGTGGGCTGGAGGCGCCAGGCGGTCACGCGCCGGCCAGGCACGGCCTGCCTAGAGCCTCGGTGTCTGCCCCGCAGTCTCCGTGTCCGACGAGGCCCGAGCCGAGGTGAACGGGCTCAAGGCCTCGCGCTTCTTCAGCCTGGCCGAGCGCCTGCACGCCGGCGCCTCGCCCTTCATCTGGCTCTTCATCCGCCCGCCGTGGTCCGCGTCCGGGAGCTGCTGCAAGGCCGTGGTGCACGAGAGCCTGCGGGCTGAGTGCCAGCTGCAGGGGGTGAGGCGGGGACCCCCGGGCGGGAGGCACAGGAAGTGGAGGTGTAGCCCCGATCTAGCCGGCGGAGCGGAGGCGGGGCAGCGGCGGGCTGCGGGGCGGGGCGCTGACGGCCTCTCTCCATCCCAGGCCCACCGGGCGTCCATCCTGCACTGTCTGGGGCGGGTGCTGAGTCTCTTCGAGGTGAGTGTCTGTCAGACGGGTCATTGCACGCAGGTCTGGGCCCACGAGCTCGAGGGCCGGCAGCGCTGCGGAGTCCACTGCTCCCGGCCTCCGAGCCCGCACCAGGGGGCCCGTGGCCATGCAGCAGGGTCCAGCCAGAGCCGCAGGCCCTCAGGCACCGGGGAGGACCGGCCCCTCCGGGGAGTCTGCTCCGGCCTCGCGCACGCACTTGGTAGCGAGAGCGGCTCTGGCTCCCGGGCGTGGGGAGACCCCGGGGCTCGGTGGGGAGCGGGGCGGGGAGCGGGGCAGGGAGTGAGGCCGACAGGGCGCTCTTCCAGGATGAAGAGAAGAAGCGACAGGCCCGGGACCTGTTCGAAGAGTCTGCCAACCAGGGGTGCCTGGCGAGCGCCTACCTGCTCTGGGAGAGTGACAGGACGGCGGACGTGAGTGGGCGCGGGCGGTGCTGCCGCGGGGCTCACTGCACCCCGGGGGAGCTGGGGGGCCACGATGAGGCGGCCGTGTGACGGCGCGGCCCCTCCTTGGCAGGTGGTGGACCCGGGGCGCAGCCTGCACAGCTTCCGGAAGCTCAGGGACTTCGCTGCCAAAGGCTGCTGGGAGGCGCAGGTGAGGGGAGGCGCGGCCGGCGCTGCAGGGCGGCCGGCCCATCCCTGCCCCCGAGCGGGTGCTGTCCTGCCCTTGGGAGGGGCAAGAGCGCGGGGGCCCCCACTCTGGCCCCGGC